AGCCCTCGTAATATTTAAATAACTCTATCACGTCTGTTTCCTTGACTGGTTCCACGTGGAGCTGTAAATTGAGTTACATCACGCGATATACATTCATACATGTAATATATTCAACGTCATACCACTACATGCCAACTTCATAACTCGTTTCCTACCACGATATTCAAAATAGGGAACGCTTCGAAATTCCTGTTATTACATTGTCACGGCGGAATTCTTTCTTTTACGTGAAATGTGATAAAAAAAAAAAAAAAAAAAAAAATGAAATACGAGCAATATTATTTGCTAGAAAACCTTCAGCCCCTAGTAACTTGATGTTTCGAAAAATCTATATTATATTTTGAAAATTCATGTCATTCGTTCTAATAATCCTTTTAAAAAGAAAGGATCATTGTTTGATACATTATAGCTGCTAACTTCAATTCAAGAGTTAATTGTTATATATAAGAGATAATTGTTGATATAAGAGTTAATTGTTATTGTTCTAATCGAAATTTTTTGAATCGTTTGAAAGGAGATTTTCCAATTATGTGAGCAATATGGATTTTTAACTTCCAAGTTATTAAGCAATTATTTTCTTTAAAAGTTATCAGTCGTTGTTAGAATCAATTACATTAATTCTTAAATCTATTGAAACTTCCTCGCGAGAACAGTGTGAGGTTTGATTTTTCATAAATCACATTCGATTTTTTCATGTCATCATCAATTATGTTATACTTTCAAACCTTGGAAATTGAGAATTGAGAGGAGACTCATCAGAACGCGTCAATAAGTAACGCAGCCACGTGAAAAAATACAGAGAACGTGATTGTCGAAAAAAAAAACGCTTATTTGCTTAGGGGCTTTTCCACTAACAGCGGAAATAAATCCACCGGATACAAAATTCACAAATTGCTCTGCATGACACGAGTTCCGAAAGCTTTCAAATCTCTGTAAAAAAATACTAGAGCAATCTATACGTAGCGATAAATCTAAGTAAAAAATAGTAGAGCAACCAATTTTCCATTTCTGCAGTAAATAAATTTTCGACGGAGGAATTCGATGGACTTCTAAATTTGTCGAAACAAGTAGTCTGTATTTTACATGCTGGCAGAAAGTACAATCGAAACAAAATCGAGAGCACTCATTTAAGTATTTATTGCACTTGTTCACCGCGTACTATATTTTGTCTATAAAAAAAGGAAAAAAGACAGAAGAAAATACGTGTGAAAATCCAGAAACTCTGGAACACTTGATCTTTCGTCTCTACGACGAATTCTTCGAATTTCCTATCAAAATAAGCGACTACTTGGTAGAACAAGGAAATTGATAGCACTCAATCACGCGTACTCTGCTCTATCAAGAACCATAAAGGAAACGAAGGAAACGCATAGACGAAGACGAGGTTCTTCGAAACGTTGAGACAGAAGAATTTCTTAAAACTGAGAACGCCGCGGAGATGCATCATTGACAGAGCAGTGAGACAAAAGAGCGGAGGAATAAAATTCGCCGGAAGCCAGGCCAAAGAGAAGCCGCCATATTCCCGCCACTTAGGCACGAGGCGTTTTCCTGTGAATCGCGCGCGTAACGCGAGAACCCACGGTCTTAAGAACACGTCCCGTACACAGCGAGTTTGCCAAAGGCAAGAGGGAAGAAAGAGAAGATGCAAAAAAAAAAAAAAAAGAAAAAAACGACGAAGATAGCCATCGTCTCCTCCTTTGCGTAATTTCAACGTAGCGGAAGGGTAGCTCGTATCTGTATTAGAAAAGAAGAAGAAAAAGGTGGTGAAAAGGAATGGATGGTTGCAATTGGAATGGGCGGGAAAAAAAAAATCAAAGATAAAACGCGGTTTAAATAACAGCAAGAGCTATATAGAGTCTAGAAGCCTGGAGAAGCTTGGGAAAGAGAGAGAGAGAGCGGTAATAAAATTACTCTGAAGACGATACACCGAATGTGGACAGAGGATAAAAGTATAAGAATGAAAAAGAGAATGGCTCGAAAGTAAAAATGATGGCTTGCAGATAACCTCGAGGTTAGTCAAGATTTTAATTGAGATTTGAATTGAATATTTGTTACGGGGTCAACCCCTTAAGGATCAAGCAACAATTTCACATAATCAAACCGCGGATCTTTACGCAAAAGTATTATGGAAATTAATTTAACCTACCAAATATTATATATATATATATATATATAT